TCGTTTGGTAAATCTTGAAATGGGGGGGGTAGAAATTGGAAAATATCCAGATGTTGACTGCGTCCCACCTTCGTTCGAAGAAATCCGAGAGGCGACACGACTTTGCCGAAGCTCGAAATCCTGCGAATGCAATGGGATTCGGATGGTAATCCTGAAGTGCAAACGTCAAATCTTTCTTCGTTGGATTCACGTGGCTTTTAACAGCATCTGGCGAAAGTCGGTCATCCCTGAAGTCGAGAAGAAATGCGTGATAATCCTGATTATTGATGAGTCTTTAACAGACAGGGTGTCCGGATTAGTGACTTTCTTTGACTTAGTATGACAGAACGAATAAATCCCAAATGACCGGAGGAGTAGCGGTTTGGTTTCATTACTGAATAACGGCTGTTGCAAAGATCCAGATAGCTGCCGTGTAATAATCCTACTAAAGTGTTCATGCGTGTTGTAATGAACTGGATTGAATAGGATTAAATAACATCGTGAAAGGACCTTCGGTGGAGCTCTGTCCAGATTCAGGACAGGCAGAAGGCGTGACTGAAGCAGCTGATGGAAAACAAGATATAATGGATTCAGATTCTTTGCGATATTCGCAGATTCCACCAAAGCTTTTGATTCAATCTAGAGGTATGTTTTGCGGAAAGTTGTGAAACAACTACGAATCCCACAAAGGATTATTTACGGATTTACAAGGATGTATGATCGTTCGCCAGCTGCAGGGGCGCCGATGGCAAGTGCGGCAAATTGTTTCGTGCAAGGTTCGCAACGTGAAGGAGTAAAGTCACGAGGAGTGCGGCAAGAGCAGGCAACATCTGTGTAAACGTTCATGCGTTTGCGAATTAATTCGTAATGATGGCAGGCAGACAACTTCGAAGCTGAGACATCACTGCTCCTAACTCTGAAACACAGGTATTTCGTCGTAGGTCTTTTGATTTAATTGAGGTAGGCAACGACTACGGAAATAAGCAGATACAAACCAACAGAGTCTTACGCTTAACATGAATGAAACTGTGGCAAGAGTCCGAAAGATCTGTATACCGAAAGTGCAGTTCCTTGACTGCAACAGACAAGCGAGCAGCAGGTTAAGGGTCGTTGTTCTGTAGCGTTAGCGGACAAGTTAAACGGGCTCCGGAAGGACAAGCTGTAGAGCATAGCACAAAACTGCTCATTTATTGGCCCTGTGTTACGAACATCC